ACAGGTGCCAATTTATGGGAACAACTGAATCTCAATGCACAATGAAGAGTTTGCCAAAGCAGATCATGTTTTAAGAATCTGTTGAGTTCAAAAGATAGTTTCATTGCCAACAGTCTAGGAGTCTTTAATCATAAAATCCTAGAAAATTATACTAATTGTTTTTGTTGTTTATACCTCCATGGTGTCAGCTGCGTGTTCGTTTTTGGCCATAAATTATGTAATTTCTTACATTATTTTGAGTCAAATAAAATATTCTATTCTAATCTAATCTATCAAACTGCAGGGGTGGTGGTGGTGTGTCTTTTCTGTGCACATCTGATCACTTCATCTTTGTGTGGAGGAAGTGGTACAATTTTTACATCAAAAAAATTCAACTTCATCTTCTTACAGAACAGTTTTAGGAGACTAACAAACAGACTTTTAGTGAAAACAACATTTTAGGATGATGTGATGTTTTTTAAAGACCCAGAATTTTTTCTCATGTTTTTTTTTTGTAACCTTGTGCGTCACATCTTTTTTTAATTTAATTTCCAGGAAAAATATAAAGCACATTTTTGAAATTAGAATACAATTTTGTACGCTCACATCAATTTTGGAAAACAAATTGACCAGAAACAATTTTATTGAACTGCCTCTGTGTTTCCTTGTTTCTCTAGTTTTACAGGCAGCTGGGGTATCGATTTTTCTATAATTTATTGGTTAATATTGGACTAAATGATAATTTAGTTTAATGTGTATATCTTTGAACTGTTGGATGTAATATCAAACATTTTATTTAAATGTTTTTATCACAAAAAATAATAAAACTGAAGAACATTATCTTGAATACAGCGCTCTCTATCACCAAAATATGAGGAAATACATCTTTATAATGACAATGTTTAAAATTCTCCAGTGTTTCTCTGTTGAATAGGAGTTTTTTGTTTCTTTAAGACATGTACATTCTTATACCTAGGCCTGAATAAGTGAAAAGGTTTTGAGTTAATTTGAATTTAATTTATTGTTTATTAGCTGGTATTATTTTTAAATTTTCAAAAAATTTCAAAAAATTGTTCATTACTAAAATTTGCCTACACATGCAAACTATTTTACATTGGATGACAATATTTCCTGTCAAAATGTTTCCACACATTTGTATGTACTTATCTGTATAATAATGACTAATAAAAGGACATAATTTACCCCTTGAGTTGATAAAATTTGCCCCCCCCCCACAAACATTCAGAGCCATTTTATCACATCTCAAATTAGCACATGATCACATGGAGAGTGTACTTGTCTTGAATAGACCTTTCATAAGCTTTAATGCCCTCAGCAATTCTGATTCAGCTAGATTGAAATCATATACACTTTTCTTTCATTTCACAGGGTTCTTCCACTAAAGGCACTTTTCATTCAACACACCTTGTGTGGAATATGACAGTTATATTTACATATTAGACCACATGAGTATGCATTTTTACACATCTACTATAAAATACCCAGGACAGTATTTTTTTTTTAAATATATATTTTTATGTATATCACAAATATTTACAAGTCAGGAAATTACAAATTTGTATGTCTTCAAATATACATAAATATCTTTCTGATATCTTTCTTGTGTAAAATACATCTTCAATAGCAGGAGGCATTATAGTAGAGTTATTATGTGGCTTATAGTATTATTCAGAAACGTATTGAAAGTCTACTGCCACTTCCTACCACAGCAAAAAATTGTCTGTAATGTATGATATTTGAAACACTTAAGTGATGGTTGGTCGAGGGAGGGAGAGGAAGGGGTAGCATATGCTCGTCAGGAAGTTGCTAATTTGTTAAAGCGAGGGAGTTGTCACCTACGCATGCGTCAGGTGGCCATAGCGTGTCATTGTTTACAAACAAGCATCTACCCATGAGCCTTTGCGTTTTTAGCGTGTGTTGTTATCATCGCTTGGGACTCAATTCTTGCACGTGCGCAGGTGACGACTCTCTCGCTTTAAAATATTAACACAGCATATGGCCAACAATACGATTTGAGGGTTTCAAGAGTGCGTGATATGTTGTTTGAGGTTTGTTCGAAGTTTGTGCACCGTAAGTGGCTCATGATTACCCAAATTTATACAAAGTGACTGCACATTTCTCAGCACTATAGGTTGAAAATTCAACTGCAAACACATGGTATTATATTAAATGGATACTGGGTTTATATCTTGTTGATTAGTCGATGAACAAGACTGACGAGAATAGTTATGACGTATTTGACACAGAAATTCGCAAATGGTCAGCGTAGTAATGTACAGTACTAGATTTTTGGCATGATATAAAAAGATATATTCATTATTATTATAAACTAAATTAAAACATTTATTATAAAATTTTTCATTATTAAAACAACTTTTCAGTTGGTGAAAGTATATTTGCTGTAGGAATGAATGCACTGTGTTGGCATCAAAGGCAACATATTTCATTGTCTAGAATTAGTTTTAAAATCATTTATTAAATTATTGATTGATTTCAACATCTTCTTTGAATGTTATTTTGGATATAGAAGCAGTCAGTTTGTCGTTATTAATGACACTGTTCCCGTTCATTTCAATCCTTGGCTCATTACTCTCTTCTTGAGTTGTTTTCCTCGATGACATTCCTGTTAGCTTCTTAACATCGGCGGTGATTATTTCTTCTCTATTTTTTTTCTTGGATGATTGCTGATAGTTATTATTTGGTCTCATTTGATGTCTTTTTGGTGGATAGTACTGACCTGGTCTGGAATATCGTCCGGGTACATGGTACCAGGAAGAGGTATGAACTAAGCCGGTGAGTGGTCGTGGACATGGTGGTTCTCCAAGTAGACTCTGTATCTGTATATGAGGACCATGGATAACATTCTTTGCATTACTGGAATCTATCGTAAACTTGCCAGGTATAGTACACTTGACACGATGTACTGAGTCAGCATCCATAGCACTAACAGGTCTATTTGAGTACCCACTATGAACGGTGGATCCACTCCCACTCCGCTGACTCCGCTGTTTATATCTCACTTCTTGCCATTGATTGTAGTTCGAGGATCTACCTTGACTGACTGGCCTGGAGTCATAGCCTGATTGTTTTGATTCACTTCTACTAGGGTAATTGCCACCATCATCGAGTCTGAAGCTGTTACTACTTGTGACTTGCGACCTGTGAGATCTTCTCCCAACTGAGCTGCTACTGCTGCTGCCTCTATTGATTTCCCCTCGCGATAATGGTCTTTGTGAAAATCTTGGTGATGGCCTTTTATCTAATTTGATCAAATCTTGATCATGCCAACTCATGCTACTATATGGCTGTTCTGGAGTTCTTTTATCAGGTTGTTTCACTGGCGCATAGTCATATTCACCATGAGCGAGCTGGCTTTCAACCTGCTTCAAGCACATTCTGACAGCTTTTGTGAGTTTATGATTAGGTCCCAGTATTGTGGATCTGACATCCAGTGATCTTTTTAGTAATTGAATGGCTTCTTTCTTACATTGGCGACTTCCATCGTCCTTTAGCATTCGGCCTAGAAATTGAAATGCATACGGAAATATTAATATAATAATTCTAGCAGACTAAGATTATGCCATATTTTAGTTAAAGTTTGGGTTGCAATAAAAAATAATGATTTTACTACTCATACATATATTGCTGTTGAATATAGAAATGAGGGATGATTTTTGAATAATACGTACTAATATAATATTTCAAATCTTTCGTGGTAGGGAACGTTCACTGTGGAATAATTTTATCTACTTTTGCACATTTTGTCTATGTAAGTCGCACATAAAAGATGGTCATCATGTCACGCCATGTTTGATATAGATGCTTTGTGTTGTAAACAAGGTAAGTAAAACACATATTGTTTGTTTATATGAAATTTGAATGCTCAATGCATTACAACCACTGCTCTACTTTGAACAAGCAGCCTCTCGGCTGAGATAGCTCTGCTGTTAGCAAATCACATTTCAATTAAGAACTGAAAATATCATTGGAAAATGAACAAATCTAGGAAAGGTCTCCCTGAGGTCCCTATATGTATAGTATCAAAGCAATCGGACTTACAGTTTTTAACAAGAAGTCGAAAATATCACTTTTTTAATACCCAAATTTACAAAATTTCACCAAAATTAGAGAATTAAAGATATCATCACAAAATGAACAAATCTGAGAGAGGTCCACATGTAGTATCTATATATATAATATCAAAGCAATTGGACTATTGTTTTTTAACAAGAAGTCAAAAATATAACTTTTTTACCAAAAATGACCAAAATATTCACCAAAATTAGAGAATTAAAGATATCATTACAAAATGAACAAATCTGAGAGAGGTCCACATGTAGTACCTATATATGTAATATCAAAGCAATTGCACTTGCGGTTTTTAACAAGAAGCCGAAAATATCACTTTTTACCAAAAATGACAAAAATATTCACCAAAATTAGAGAATTGAAGATATCAACATGAAATGAACAAACCTAAGAGAGGTCTACCCAAGGTACATATACACCAAATATCAAAGCATTCAGGCTTGTAGTTTTCAAGAAGAAGTCGAAAAAGTAAAACATTGACACGGACGACGCCGGACGACGCCGGACAATCACTCATATGATAAGCTCCGCTCGACAAAGTCGACAGCGGAGCTAAAAAAAGTAATCTGATCAGCAGTACTACAATATACATACAATAAATACATACACACTAAATATAGTATACTATATATATATACATATACCCCGGTATATTAGATCATTATTAGATATACAAGATAATTTTAGTCAGTGATATTAGCCTTTGGCTGGAGGTATTTCAAACTGACTTTAAATAAACGAATTAAATTGAATTCAGATTTCACTTGATATAAAATTGTATTCTCTTACCCAAGTGAAATAGAGTTGTAGCAAATAATAGATGGTTTGGTCCAAGGCTGGTTTCTCTGATCTGTAAAGCTCTCCTAAACATTGGCTCAGCTTCAGCTCGATCAAAGCTGAAATAAAAAGAAGTCAAATAGGCGATGGTAAGTAATGCTTCCTCCTAATTTCTTATCAGCATTGTGCAGGAGATTTTCTGTCAAAAAGTTAGTTTGCTCATCAACTGGTTTTTATAGTGTTACAAGGCTGGACAATCGGAGGTATATATAAAAAGGTCCTGTGAGACAATTTGTTATGTTTAGTGCAGTCTTCCAGGTATCGTATTTTCTCTATTAGAAGCACATCTACAATAGAATCAAGAATTGCATTAAGGTAGCGAGAAGGGAAATTTTCACTTTTTTCTTGATTTTTCAAATATTGATAAAACGGTTACTTTAGACCTTGATACATCACCCCAGGTTTACAAAAGATCGAAATTGCGAAATAACGTTGCTCAAATTAGTGTTTTAAAACACTAGCAGAAAAGACTACAACTGCCGTTTCGTGGATATTTGCATAGTGTTTATCTTTGGAAGGAATTAAATGATAACATCTTATCTGTATACTCTGTTGTTGACGATTCTGATATAACGGGTGATAAGCTTCCAGTTGCAAATATACTGGATCATTAAAATGTACTTTTGTTTGACTAAGGACACACCTCAGTTACCTTACGTAAGTGTATGTACTTCTAATAATAGAACAAATACATTACCCCCTTCCTGAATTTGTGGGACTGCTCTGTCAATTTCGTTCCCAGCATGAAACTCATGATTCAGTTTATGGCTTGACTTAAGGTAGAAGCCTAGTCATAATTTTTGACAAAATTGGTCATAAATCGCATGACAATGTTCATTAGTTTATTATGTACAATCATGAAGCTAATGTCTCATGGTACAATGAAATAGCATTATTTTGTGTGTTACAGTTATGCTTTTTGAGAAACGCGTCCGAATATTTCTTGAAAATTGCTATTTTTACAACAATTCCATAGAACACAATGTTGAAGAAAAACTGCATTTTTTGACACTTTTTAAAAGCCGAATTTTTTAAATAATACAGAACAACAAAAAGTACTCCATCATTAACAATATATGATTTTGTCAGCCTATGTCACCAGGCTAGATTTTGAGATATTGCATAATATCTCTGCCATAGAAACCTGTGGTAAAAGTGTTATAATAGTGTCAAAATGACGATTTTCCACTAAAATAAAACCATCAATTTCTCGAAAAAAAGGCTGGTGACACCCAACTTTTTTTAGGTCAATATCCTTATATTGCTTGGAGTACAGTTTATTGCAAAATGAATAAATTCTGGGTTTTTTAAATTATGAGTAGGCTTCTACCTTAAAATGTAAAAAACTCTCAAATACAACCACATCATATTACGTCTGTTACTAAAAAAGGTTAGTAACTGTGATAGTACAGATTAATGAAATCAAAATTTTACTCCACACAATCAATAAGTTACATTAAATAAATGATATCATTTACAGCACAGATTCATTAGATGACACAAAGTTAAGGAATAAACAACCTGTTTCTTTGTTTTGTTTTCTGGGTGCCATGTGATGCAACACTGGTCTAGCACTGACACTCCAAACTGATGACACAATTGAGAATGTAATATTGACTCACTGTATGTGATTCCAGCGATCTGATAGTAATGTCGCAAGATTGTCTAATACTTCAGCAACCAATGGATGAGATGTACCATACCAACGCTCTCTTAGACTAAGTGCTTGGCGAAGGTTGGGCTCCGCTTTTTCATGTCTGTGTTTACGCAACCTGTAGATAATTAGTAGTTTGTATTAGTATTGAAATTAATTGTACGGATTAGAAAAAACACACACAAACAGGGGGGTTAGAATTTGTAGACATGAGGGCAGAAGAATTGACTTTCAACTTACTGTAAAATCTGTATTAGAAGATGTGCTTCTACTCAAATAGTACAATGCAACAGAGGGAAATGTCTTCTGATAGAGCATCTAATTTTTGGTTCTCAATTGGTCGAAAACAATGGATGTGGCTTCTATTATTAGAGGCACAACTTCTATTACAGATTTTATGGTATTTTTGTAAGTGGTATTGTAAGGATGACTGAAGAACTGATAGCCACTTTAAGTAATACGATAGCCACTTACCAATAAACACCTAAATTATAATAGACTGTAGCCCTCCCAGCTGTACTTTTGGCAGAGTTCATGCACTCTTTGGCTTCCTGTAAATATGCTTGAGCTTCTGACCAGTTACCACTGTAAATCTTGATATTACCAAGTCTATTCAATAAACGACCTGAAACAGGACAATACCAAAGTACTGGATTGATCCAACATTGAACTTTTATGTAAGAATATATAATCGGTTAAATTTGCTGATGGAATAGATGAGTTTCAGGTACCATTGATGAATTGACGTTGATTCACTTCCGGTCAGCAGAATTACGCAGTATTATACTGATATTTAACTAAAACTTCAGTTTTGTTCTGAACTTGTAAATTTTGTTGGCAGTAGTCATTAAAGTGTTCTAAATTCATGCACACAAAACAAAAAAAATTTAATTTATATTAATTTAGTATTCATGTGTACTTTTGTAAGATATTTCTAGGGAAAAAAATACATTCATGACTATTGAAAATCTGAGAAAGATGTCAAAAATTTATTTTGGCGCTCAGTAAAATATTCATTCCTGCAGACATTTATATTTCTAACATGAAAAATATCACAAAATATTTCACTTCAAAAAATTAAAATTAAAATTTAATTTTTTTTAAAAGCAAAAACAGATAAGGATATTCAGAAAACAAATCACAAAGCGAAATAAGTGGATAGTGACCATACCTTTACTTTCCATATGTGTATTGTACTCAGTGACGCAATCCTCTTCTGGTATGTCTAACAGAGTATTGAGTGATTTCTTGTAAAAGTTCTCAGCTTCATCATTTTTCAGTTGATAAAAGTGCCATTCTGCTAAACTTTCTTCAATCTTAAAGCGTATCAATAACTCGTCACTTGACAATGGTGTTTTCTGCAAATAACAGTATTGAGGTGAATTCAAACAAAATACAGACTAACAATTTGATTTCTGTTTTCTATTGCATGTTAGCATGCATCTACCGTGTAAATGAGTTTGGGTGACGAATTAACTACCAGGAACATCAGAAATAAATCTCTAGTATCTGATAATGCCAATATACTCTACAAAACATCTTCTTTTATTAAACTGATACTATTATGATTAGTTGCCTTCATATATAGTTCATAAAATACATTTACAGAACCATAGTGATTGAAAAAAACCCTCCAAAATCAAAAAACTATCAGCAAATTGTTCAATTTTGACCACAAGCAGTCTTTATGATTTGATGACCTGAGGGTGCCAGGGGAGGGTGGAGGTGGGGGGGGGGTCATGTTTGTGAGTGTAACCACACCTATATAGGTAAGTGGAAAAACATCAAGGGAAAGAGAAACCATGTGGCATGGTCTTGAGTACATGCACAAGCTTTTTTTATTACTTACTTCTTTGATGTAGGTATATGCCATGAATAATAGTTCTCTAGCTCTGTCAAAGTGACCCAGTTCAGATAAGAACTGTCCAGCATATCTAGATAATGACGCTAACTCACGCTTGCTAATGGGAGGTTGTTCTGCAACTGCAAATACATGAATGTAGTGAGTAAGGCCAATTAACATGGTATTTTCCAATTAGCATAATGAACACGACTTTACAGATCAAAAATATTACATTGTCATGGCAATTGAAAATCAGTTAGCATGCACATCTAGCTCAGTATGACTTGCATTTGTGTTTAATTCCAATGTGTCTAGGAAATAAAATGGCCACAGACATTTTGAAATTGTAAAAAACAAGACAAGGATTAGAAACAAACCAATATGTGCTACCGATAACAAATTTAAAAGAAATCGGTCCAAACTTTCTGGCAAAAGAATGATTACAAGATGAAATGTTGTATTTATTTGAAGAGGGTCAAAAACGGTTGCCAGTCAATCAAATTAATTTGATATGAATATGTATATTGTATTGTCTTTGCACCAACTGCATACTAGCATTGAATGAAATTGAAAACATAAGTTTAAACGAGACTAATAATAATTAGCACAATAGACAACAATGTAATCAAATCGAAACATTGTTGGCTAAATCCACCTTATTAAATTAAGGTAACACAGTAGAAAGATATTACAAGTATCAAATAATGTATGTTGCTTGTTTACCTTCATCTTCTGCAGTCAAATATTCTTCTGCAGAGCTCCATTTAGACAATCCTGCATTGATTTCACTATTCACATTCTCTGTTAGAAAATAAATCAGCATCAGTCAAGAATGAAGTCAATTTCCTGGTGATCAGTAATTAATTACACTTTACCAACAAGTATTTACAACAATACCACAAGAAAGAAGCTGTTTCTAGTGAGACACCTATTCAAGGCATCTTCCCTAGGTCCCTAAATAACAAAAGAACTAGTCAAAACTGAACACTAACAAGTCTGAGAAAGGTATTTACTCAGTTCATAGAGTTTGTTCCAGGAAATCAAGGTGATACAGATCCTGAGAAAGACAGGTTTCCTTATTATGCAGTATATAGTTTAGTTTTATCGCATTACATAAATTAAACATAAATCTTTATCGCACAAAATACACAAATACATTAAATTCCAGTTTGTCTTAATGGTCTACCATATTGTAGTATGTACAGAAAGAATACAAGTTGTACTATTTAGAAGGCAGCTAGTAATATACTAAATTGCAGTGTATGGTTAATGAATTACCTTGGGCATCATAGAAATCTTCTTCTCTAGAACTATCTGATTCATGATCTACAGAGTTGATACACCACTGGGATATATCAGATTCTGTAAAAAATACACAACAGGGTATTATTTATGCACTGTATTCCCTTAAATAAAATTTACTTATATGTGACACATTAATAGCATAAGAATATACAAAACAATTTTCATTACATTGAACATAATTTGCTTAATAACTTATGTTGTTTTCATGAGAATTCAAGCACGATGGTACCCCCTTGCCAGTTAACAATGTTGCTTTCAGACAAACATTTGGCACTTGCTTTTAAAATAGGAACACCACTTCCCATAAATGTCTCAGAGTCTTAAGTGTTGTGAGAGTACTGTTATTTTGAGGTGAAAACCGCTACAGCATTTTAAAAATGGTTTATAACACACAATATGCCATATTTGTGTTTTCATTATATACCGGTAATAAAAAAAAACATTTGTTCAACACACATGAAACATGCTCCCATTTTTATTTTTACTATATCAGTTTTATTCTGAAAATCCCAAAATCTGTTTCCCTCATACATACATTGCATTGAAGTTCAAAGGAATATTACAAATATGCAAAGTTTTATACCGGTAATCAGGATTGGTAACAACCAGGTGTAAACAATAATTTAACTGTTCTACTGCATGAAAGTGATATCAGATACATTTCATAACACAGTCAACTTTCTGGTTCATAATCACACATTATTAATGCACTGATTTATCGTATTTTTATGCAACTCAAACGGCGCCACATGCTAACATTGCAAAATTGCTTGCTAACGTGCATGCATGTTTTCTCGGCTCCACATGTATAACAGTTAGCAATAAATAGAGCCCTCACCTTTTGTAGCACTTGTAGCATCAAAGATATCACCATCTGATGCTGAGCTCAGAAACAAATCATCTATTTTATCTATTCTATCCTCATCAAGCACTGGGATGGAGATGTCAGATGGATTGACTAGTAAGTTGTCAGAACTTGATATTTCTTCAATCACAGACAACTGCTTCTTTAATTCAGGTTTCTGACAATCTGTAGGATAAAAGAGAACTTTTATAAATATTCAGGGAATTGCATAACATGTTTATGAGTGTTAATCTAATGAGTGGTTTCACCAGCCATTCTCAGCTGTCATGTACATTGTACATATACCAGTATTTACGGTACATCCTCTCATATTGTTTCATATTGTTTTCATTTTTATAATGTAATTTTTTTTTTACTATAACATTAATAAATGACACAAATCAATACTATGAATTACTTACATGTTTTGATCAAAAACCTTTCTTTTTATCGCAGATAAAATTCTGTTATTGTAAAGTGTAAATTTTTTTATCACAAAAAAATCAGTCTTTTTTTGTATCATAAAAAGTCTATAACAAATGGAACTATTTTGTGAAAGGTGGAAGGGGATTAAAACTGACTATGGCTGTGAATAGTCCAGGAGTCTTTGAATGCATGCAATCGTTTGGAAAAATACATAGTGATGTATGTTACATGTACATCTGCAGTTAAATATCAATCACAGATAAATAATAAATCTCACCAGATTTATGTGAATCTCCTTTCTCACTGACATCATCTACGGAGACTGACTGCGAAATAATGAAACAAGACAATTACATGTAATTATAAACTGGTACACTAAAAACCTGAAACTTTTTTCAAATTATTTAAATGTGGTTGAAATTTTGGAGTTTTGATATGCCAGACGTCTTTGTAAATAGTGGTGGTAACCATTTTGTCCAAAAAACACAAAAATATCATGAATCATATTATAGCAACTACTTTAGTGAATTGCACATTGTATAACAGCAAGGATTGATAAGCTAAAGGTATGCAACTTGGATATCGATGTAAGGTGATAAGTGATGAAGATCTCACATTAATTGAACAGATTTCTAACCAATAGCGTAACAGAACACAGAGAACACTTGTATGAAACATACTGTATAAAACCACTTAATTTTCACTGCTAGAAATTTTAGGATTTCAGGATTTTGAACAATTTTCTCCTGTAAAATTAATGATTTACAGTAATTTGATTGCCTAAACAGAAATGAGTGAAAATATCACTGGATTCAAAAACACAATTACATGTCAACAAAATGGTCTGAGATGAATATTTAATCAGTTCATCAGTTCATACTTGCTTGGTATTTGCATTTAATACTTCTAGAAATGTAAGTTTGTTTGTTAATGATAATCTTGTATCGTAAAATCTGTATTAGAAGCTGCATCCGAGTCCCTAATAGAAGTCACACCCATTCTTTTTTAAAAAATTGAGAACCAAAAATTCATATTTTCTCATGTGTGTAGATTCTCTATTAGAAACCGCATCCATTCTGTTGCAGTGTATCATTTTAATAGAAGCTGCAGCTTCTAATACAGATTTTACAGTAATTCATGTGACTTAAGCACAAGATTTTCATCTCATACCACATCACTCTTATAAATCCTTGACTACATAGATGCATGTGAGAGACAGAATGTACAAATAGACTCATCATCACAAGAGGCAGTTGACCACATAACAAATTGCAGATTGATAATGTATATAAATTTTGTACCTGTGTTTTCTCACTAGATTGGTCATTATCAAATATTATCTCAATATGACTATCAGTTCTGTCTGTGATTGCTTCATTCTGTGAAGCCTTTTCTATCATATTTTTGTAAATTGTTGATGGATCAAAGCCAGCGTCTCTTAGCGTTTTCCAATATCGATGAAGATCTAATTTCAATGTATCATCCTCTCCCCCACACATGGCTGAAAATGTCCTGTGAAGTCAAAGCAGGTAAAGTATTGAGTATTAATTATTGCTTAAGTCTTACACAAAGATTTTAGTAGTTGGTCAAGATAAAAGCGAGATTACGCCAGTAGAGAATAAAAACAAATAAATGCAAACTCAGCAAAAATTTCAATGTTCGCACATAATTTTTTTAGTATACATGTATTACAAAGCAGAATTTGAAACATCGAAAAAACTTGTTAACAAATTAGCTGATCTCTAATTGACCATTAGTATTAGGATTGATTAGCCAATTAGACACATACTTGTGAGTAGTTTTGCTTTAACTCTGATTTTCTTGTTGATTATGTCAGCAATTATTCAGATTGAAATTTGATGTAGATAGAGGCTTTCACTAGTGATGGCAGGGCAAACTCGTTGCTGGCTGATGCAAGCTTCTTGCTCGTCTTTTACTGCAGATTTTAGCATTTCAACAGTGTACCATGTATGTGTGTTATAGCACTGACTTGACTCCTGACTTGAAGGAGTTTCCTTGTGATACACTGACATTGTGTTTGTCAGGATCTGGCTCAACATGCATACACAGATGATGGGTTACTTGAATTACAGTTGGCACTACCATCGGAGGGGAGGCATCTTAACTGGACAACCAGCATTGTCCAGGTAGCAGCTGACCAAATGACTTAGAAAGCAAAAGCAGTGCAACACCATGCCATGTCCTCATGCCCCAGATGTAACATGTACAGACTTATAAATGACAGATGATGTGGTATATGGGTGAGAATTCAGTTCTAGCTGTTCAAGTCATACACAAAAATCTCAGGTTCAGGGAAATCATGGCACTAGGCAGTTGAACTAAATTTAGATTCAGACTAAAAGACATCAAGACTAAAAGACGTATGATGCATGTCTGCCTTCCCAACTTCCTGTGAACAAAACTCAAACACCTATTTGATCCAAATTATAAATCGAAAGTCAGCAAGTTTTGCAGTGATTAGCTTGTGGTACACTGAGATAAAGCTAAACTAAACTAAGTGTTGGCGTCCTTAGAAAGTATGATCCTCCTGCGATGGTGGTGGTGAATTAGCATGTTCTGAATTCTTGGATGTTTTAAGGCAACGAAAAGTAGCCCCACAATCCAAGAGATGTTTGAACAACCCTTATTGAATGCTTTCTAAAGATTTAACCGTATACACGTACTATGCGATTAACCTATTGCTTGATAAAAAAAAATTATGGATAAAGAACCTGAATGCCCAGTCAGCCAGGCAAATGTAGTCTAATCTCCTATTTAAATTTAAGATTGGAGCTAATTGACAATGGGATATTAATGAAAATCTTTTACTGATTACAATCAGCTTAACTGGTAGTATCACCACGTTGAGACTTATTACATAATTAATACAAAATGGAAGTTACAACTCTATGAAATATTTTAGAAAAAACAATGATAATTAATAAAGGTATTGGACTATGCATATACAAAAATCATCTCACCTTGGTTCACTTAATATCTGAGACAAAGCTGCCAACTCCCCACTCATTTCAAGTTGCCATGGCAACTCCTCCACTCTTCGTTGGTTATGTTCTTGTTTCATTAGGTATCTGCCAATATAACTGTGATACAGTTGTTTTTGTCTTTCCCAAAACTGAGGTAAACCAGGGTTGGTAGTAGGTCTGGTGGACTTTCCAACAATACCTATAATCAAATCAACAAATTAAATATTAGTGATAAATTGTCTCTTCTGTTAAAGTTGTATTCCTACTTTGTATTACATGCAGAACACCTATCACTGAATATTGTGATCACCATGAGGAATGACACAGTTAGTTGGCATGGCAACAAATCTTGAAATATTAGAGCACTGGAGGTGAAAAATAAATTCAAGTGTGCATTTTGGATACTCTATTTAGAAATGTCTTTTATATTCGTTTTCAAATTTCTTGCGGACTGCACAAAAAGCAAGGCTCTTGTGATGCTACAGATAATACAAGTGGGAATGTGACCTTTTCACATCCAGTTCACTCTTTTTATGACAAACCCACAAAATAATCCTGTTTATAGTCTGCACTTTCTTTCAAAAGATTGGACAAAAATAGCCAAATTTTTTTGAGTAAAAACTGAAAATGAACTCAAATTTTGTCTGTTGGCCCCAAAATAAGAAAAATTTGGGCGAAAAAGTCTGGTGGTGAATAGGTTAATGTATCTACCCACATAGTAACCACATTGCCATATCAGGAGAGTTCATCATGTAGACTTTTTTAAGGATTTTTTATAAACAATTTTTGAAATAAATGGAATTAATAGTCCCCATTTTCAGACATCCAATTTGTCTGCAGATTAAAGTAAGGCATGTTCCATAGCTTCTCTCAAGTTCTGATGAAAGAATGTCAACAAACCACCGGGCCTCTCCATCAATGAGTCTAACGCAGCAGATCTAAATAATGCCCAATCAAAGGAGGTAACAGCTGCAGGACCACTATATCCAATGATTTCTAAAATATCTAGGATTTCTTTCTCTGTTAGGCCATTACGGGACACAGCAATGAGTCGTAGTGCATCCGCCACCCAACCTTGCAATGCTGAAATAAATTAGTGGAAAAAATAAATAACAAACACACATACAACTTTAATATATAAATGTATAGCTAAAATATGCTTTGTTTATCACCAGAAATGTTTTCTCAAAAAAAGTTTTTAAATTGCACTTAAAAAAGTGTTAATTAGGGATGGCCTCACACATATAGAGATGCTGAATTGTTTACGTTATGGACATTGAGTTACGAAAACATGGAGTTACACAAATGACCACGCCATATTTTTGAAACCACGCCCACTTTTAAGAAACCACGCCCAAATTGTAACTTGATGTTCAATTAAGAGTTATCGGTAACAGAACTTCAAGTTAATACTAGCAACATAAATTGTAGTTGCTGTTTAACGTCCACATTTAGTAACTCAAACTTGAATTAACAGTTATAAACCAAACTTCTAGTTATGGGCAACATAAATTTGTCATTTTATTCAAAATCACATTATTTGCAGCACTCCTAATTCGTTTTAAAATTGCAGTTATTGTTGAATTTACAGGCATGACTGCTTGACTATAAAAACAAAAGTTAACATACTTACCAACTGGCGGTGGCGTTGTTGAACTACTAAATGTTGCAGTGCTTGTTGAGTAGGGATGATCAGTTGTCCAGCCGTAATCTTTGATCCATCTTTCAATAATTAATCTCCATAAATCTCGTATATTGGCTGACTCTAAATAAATCTGTAGTTGTTTATTTAGATTTCTATGGGTACCACAAACTCGTAACTCATTGGCCAAAACACAGAGAAACAAAGGTCGTTCACTGAGTTTACATTCTAAAATCATGTTGATTTGCTCTTTGTCCAGACTCTTACAGTGGACTGCTAAGTGTTCTTCCACGATGCTACATCTGATATCGGGATCAGTGATTAACGATACCGAATGAAATATGGCATCTTTTCTCATGGCTAGACCTCGGAATGACAAATCAGACTTCACCGTTGTTAAGATGATTTTACATTGCGGTGGTAATGTCGCTGATAGCCAAGACATCTCTTTCACCTGTAGCAAAATATTGAGATTGTTAGAGAAGGAGTTATAAAAATGTCGCAGTTGTGGCAGTTCAAATTTTGTATTACTGCGCATGTGTTTGACGCAATGCATAAAGGGAGATAGCCTTCCATTACCGGTACAATGAAAAAAATATTATCACCCTGGAAACTGACTATTATATGTAATTTTTTTGAAATGTTCTAACAATATTAGGATTCATAACAGTAACAAAGTCAATATATGACTTCTACATTAAAGGTCATAACCTAGCAAATTTTTGAGATGCAAAGAAAGAATTTCACCATAAAAACCTGTGTAAAAATGTCATTTTTGACCCTTTTTCCCATTACATTTTATCTTATGATTTTGTTTAGTGATCTCAGTTGTTTTTTCGGTGTCCTGATCGCATGAACCCATAATAATATACAAGTATGATGAACATGACATGTAATCTTTAATTTCAAAGCTCCTTGAGAATGGCATGAGTTTCCCAAAATAATATTCATAATAATAAAGTTTAAGAGATATTTCACCTACCCCCGGTACATCATTTTCAATGTCATTACTACTGGTATGGCCATTTGGATCAAGCACACAATTCCCCATAGATATATTACATGTAAAACATGTCATGGGGGGTGGGACTTGTGATGTAACATGAAAGACCTAGATATACCTGATGTATTTAAAGGTTGTAGAATGTTGCAATGTATTTCCTGAACAAAAACATGACACTAATAGTAGGGAAGTGAATGACGTAGAAGTAGTTATATACATACCTGTTGTACGGAGACACCAAATGTGGTACTAAGTTCATCAATACCATCCAGAATAAGGACACAAGGTCCTAAACCCAGGGCAGCTATAAATGCTTCACTAATGCGATGAAAATCGGACAAATCTTGGGCGTCCGATGAATTGCTGTCTCTTTGCTCACCTGAAATTTACAATTAAATTAGTAAAGTGAAAGTGGCTGTAATGATTTGAGGCTATGACGTTTAATTTAGTTATTTGCATAATGATATTGATACATTGTATGGAACATCCCGTAAGTATTTAGACTCAGTTCCAGACCTAGCAGTTGAGCAATAAACACCTTGGCTACAAGTGCTCCTCTCCAGTAGTGACCAATACTCACTTGGTTCACTCTACCTTGAGAAGTCTGTTCTCAGTTTACAGTGGCATTCACAATATACAGTACTCGGTGTTCAGAAAGTACATGCCACAAACTCATGTTGTCACATTCTCCCATCAAAATTCATGAACCTTTCCTTTTTTTCAAGTTCTGGGTGAAGTTTAACTATTTAAGTGTTTTAAAATTCACTACTGTGATAGTGAAAAAATTACTTATTTTGTTTTTTAATCTAGAAATACCAGCGTGGTTATAGTGGCATGCAGTGAATATTTGAACAATGTATACATGCATTGTGTACATATATGGCACCTATATCAAATATATGTACAACTGTGGCATAGGTATGGAATTAATGCAAGAATGGACAATTATTTTTACTTGGTGGCAGAAGCAGAAGGGGTGGAGGAAATAACTGTAAACTGGTATATTTTCATGGCAGAATTTGTTTTGTGAATTTTGCGAGTCAGAAAAAAGTGCTAAATTTGGTAGCCCAGTTTGGACAAATACATGTAGGTCTAACCCTCCATCAGATAAATTGGCCTGTCCCTGAAATCATTATAAAAATTATATACATTTTCTTGCATTTTAAAATTAATGTTCCAGAAGTAAATATAATTGGAAAACAGCATGGTACTTTGAACCAAGAGCCAGGAAAAATCAAACTGAAAATTACTGATTAATTTATATACGATAATAATTATTTCATAGCAATTTTTATATCCAAAAAGATTTGATTTATACATTAAATTGTGAAATGTGTACAGATTTGGTTTAAAAATAATTCCCATTTTGTAAAATTCTGAAAAAAACATACTGATATATGAGTGTACACTGTGAAATGTAAACAAATTGAAAGAAAGATTAAATAAACATTTTTACCAATGTATTCTTCACGTAACTCGTACGTAGCACGTCTCATGAAACTTGTAACGTCTGTACTAATAGAGCTGGCACCAACGTAATGAGTCAACACTTTAATATCACGATTGTTGTCTCTGAATTCCTTGACCCAGTTTGAAAGTATACTGGTTTTACCACAACCCCTGTCCCCTGTGACGACAAAAACTGATTTATACTTTGCCGGCGATGGCTCCCTGAAAAAAAAAAATGTTCATTTTATATCTAAAGCCAAGTAAAAATACATTTTGCATTGAAGGCCCAGTTATACTATAAATACGCTCCTAAACAATAGGGATTATTTCCTTGCTTGTCACGATGTAGTAAACAGCTCAAGCCAAGCTCTGGTAAAAACATGTTATCTCAAACTTACAGGTCTACTATGTTGTGCCAAAGTGGATGCATGAATGACTATGAATATCACAGCAGTGACTGTGTGTAGTATTCATGACAATAAATAGTGTACGAGCTGAGATTTTGGCGGATAAAAGTAAACAAGCAGCCTCTCGGCTGAGATAGCTCCACTGTTAGCAGTGCACATTTCAATTAAAGAACACAAGATATCATTAGAAAATGAACAATATGTATAGTATCAAAACAATCAGACTTGCGGTTTTCAACAAGTGGAAATATCACTTTTTACCAAAAATTACAAAAATATTCATCAAAATTAGAGAATTGAAGATATCATTACAAAATGAACAAATCTGAGAGAGATCCACATGTAGTACCTATATATGTAATATCAAAGCAATTGGACTTGCGGTTTTCAACAAGAAGTCGAAAATATCACTTTTTACCAAAAATGACAAAAATATTCACCAAAATCAGAGAATTGAAGATATTATCATGAAATGAACAAATCTGAGAGAGGTCTACCCAAGGTACATTTATATCAAGTATCAAAGCATTCAGGCTTATAGTTTTCAAGAAGAAGTCGAAAAAGTAAAACATTGACACGGACGACGACGGACAATCACTCATATGATAAGCTCCGCTCCACAAAGTCGACAGCGGAGCTAAAAACATGAACCGGGGAAAGGAACGTTCAACTAATCTTGAATAATTACTACTGTCAATCAAAGTCACGTGATGTTGAACCGCGAAACAGGATGCTCATAGGCTATGCAAGTGATTAACACCACTCATTAGCATAGCCACACCTCCAATTCAACTGGGCCTTTAACTTTTAAGCAAATAACAAAATAAATAGACCATTACATTATACTTATCATTAATTTTATTTAGGGGGGCCTGTTAAGCCATAGGCTTATTTTCCACAGAACTTTCATGAGAGCAAGTTCTAGTGATAATATACTACC